TGGAGTAGGCGTTCTCCATTGTCAGTCCTGTTGGTTGGGATTGCATGCGGACCACCAAGTAACCTCTCTGATTCGTCCAGGGATCCCACTTGAGCATTGAAGTCTCCAGCGACCACCACGATGTCCGTTGACCAAGCGCTTTGGAGCAGTAGAGAGAGGTCCTTGTAGAATTCATCCTTTATTTCTGGTGAACGGCAATCTGTCGGCGCATACTCGGATACGACTAATAAGCATCGACGCTTCGTTCTGTAGCTGTTGACGCATACTGAACCGTCCAGACCTACGGCACTTGCTGTAATGGAAACGGGTAAAATAAGTCCCGGGACTTGGAGTGGCGAATCACATGAGGCCCCACCGAGTAAGCTTGGTATTGAACAGGACCGCAGCAAAGCTGCCTAGCTGTGATTCCTACGCCTCTTTTTGGTTGGTTTGGAATCAGTGGTTCTAGCCAAATCCCCTGAGTGAACTGCCAGTGATTCGCCGACCCTGTTATAACTCCGGATGTCGGCTTTTCCTTCTCTCACTTTGGTGGGAAAGCGCCTTCATCCCACGGAGACAGAGTAGGGTTTTATCAGCAGGGGCTATTTACCACGCCTGGCCATATGGGAGCACTTCGCGAGGTGCAAGAAAAGGGTGACCAGCCACAAGCCGAGACACCCATTCCAACCATACTGAGGATTTCGGAAGCGCTATTCTGATCGATTGAGCGGAAAGCTAGGATACGACTTCTGATTGATAGGTTTTAATGGAATACAAACAAGGTGTGAGAGTATGCAATGTGGAACGATTTGCTGAGATACGGAGTACCCAAGAAGTACGTCCTGCTTCTAAAAGCACCGCCATCAGACCTCGGAGAGAGTATATTATATTTTCACACACATCTGAATCCAGATTGCGTGCCAAACAAATCATGGTACAATAATCTTTATGAAAAAGAGAAACGTTCCAGGATTTGCATGTGGGCGGAATACTGCCTGGTTGAGGCAGGTGAATTCTTTTGGGGAATCCACAACCGGAGCCTTTGGCTAGCCAAAGCCTGATCCGCAATACAGCGGGGTGGCATGCGAAAACCGCAACCTATCTTCAACTTTTCCATGGATGATGTTCTACAGAACACGTTACTTAAAGAAACGAACTGTGGCGTCACTCTTCGTCCTGGATACAGCGTAGTAGACTTAAAGTATGCCGATGATATTGCCTAACTCGGTGGCAATGCACCGGCGATTCAAAACGCGATGAATCGTTTGGCACAGGAGGTTGCTCGTTACAGTTTGTCTATTGCACCTTCAAAGTGCAAGGTGTTGCAAGATTGGCAGGAACCTGTTCCTGTACTTTCGTTGGGTAATTACACTCTGGAACCAGTCAATAGCTTTGTCTACCTTGGGAGTTGCATAATGGCTGACGGAGATATGAGCAAGGACATGGCCCAACGCGTAATCAAAACCAGGTAATCGTTTTCCAATCTACGGCGTTTGTGGCACCGGCGCGACATATCCTTTTCACTGAGGGGGCGTGTGTATTGCACAACGGTATGCGCCGTGTTCTGCGGCGGCGAAACTTGGCCTCTCCGAGCAGATCTTGTCCAGCGACTATCGGTCTTCGATAACTGTTGTGTGCACAACATCACCCGTATCTGGTGGAAGCATCGCATGGGTAACGACGGTGTCAAACGACGTTTGTAAAGATCAGATAGTCTTCTGGTGAGCAAAACCACTTCACTACACCGTCTAAGGTGGCTGGTTCCCTATGGATGTCTGAAAAAGTTTCCCATACTGTAAGCTATTTTGGGGCGTTGGTCCAGTCTGGACGAAACAGCGAGGTGGACAGGTTGTGACTTGGCGTAGGGGGTTAAATAGATTGTGCTCGGATTTGACGTCCGTCGTGGCTCCTCGGCTGAGACCCCCAAGGATCCAGCTTGTCATTGGTTTGAGACACGACAGAATGTGGTATCGAACCGAAGTCGGTGGCGAGAATGTACCCTTTCCTGTATTTAATCCCTAAACAAACAAACTGTCAAAATTGCGTACACTAAACACGCAAAAAACGTTTCCATCCCTTAACCAAAATCGATTGTTTTTGTTTTTCCCTTGCTCTAACTCTGTATTTCCCTTTTAATCAAGGGTTGTTTTGACGTCTTATCCATAAATACTGGCGCTATGTATAATATAGTATAATAATATAATATAAGACCATCAGGTCACGGTTGTTGCGGTTAGTAGCATCTAACATCTAAAAAAACATCGATTCATAGCATTGATTCTTCATAGGACTGGCTCTGAAAGAGCTGTCCATCCAATGGTCACCGGTGTTACAAACAAGATTATTGTGACGAAAATACACTTCCTGGGTACAAATATATGAATGAACTGGCAAAAGATTACCGCATGCCTGACGAGCGGCGAGAACCGCGAAACCGGTTGTGTGCTTCCAGAGAAATTTTGTCCAGTTATTCACATACTACTTATTATCATATATATATATATATATATATATCACGCGATAAGCGTGGCTATCAGAATAGTTCATCTCGCGTCATAAATCTAACAGCCCCGTACAATTAAGTATTTTGCTTTTCGTTGTTTTAATTTTTGATGTGAGAAAGTGACGGGGCAACGGGACAGATTGCGTTACGTAAGTGGCGGGATTCACTGGGAAACTAAAATAAAATCATGGCATAAAAGGAAACAGTTCATTTTGTATCGTTAAGTTGACTACGTGTGCTTTTTTCTCTCCAGATCATCATCAATTTTCAAGTTGGCGTTTCCATTCTTATCGAGATATCTGTTTGCCCTATAAATGAGTGACATAAACTTACTGAAACCGGTTGCTGTATTTGAACAACTATTTGAGCGACAAATTCGCCTTGAAGACCGACGGAACCAGGAACACGCTGCGATCAGTGTAGCTGTTAATGTGCTGCAATCGTGTCATGGCTCTTCACTGGTCAAGATTGGCAACACTGAAGTCATTTGCGGTGCCAAGGTGAGTTAGTCCTTTCTCACACACACACAACAGGTGACCATTTCACCGTAGGTCAAAGTTCTCCCGGATGCAGTGGATGCTGGTTCTGTGGTAGCTAATGTGGAACTCACTAGTCTATCCAATCGTACAATTCATCCAAATACCGGCATCACTAAAGAAGCACAGTTTCTATCATCCGCATTGCAACGCTTGATTACGAACTCAGTCTGTCCGGATACGGCCAAAGATTTAAATATTTACTCTGAAACGAGCTCACAACAACCGGTCGGCTCGTATGTGATCAAGCTGGACGCGGTTGTGCTACACGACGATGGTTGTCTTTTAGATGCTTGCACCTCAGCCGCCCTGGCCACCCTACTGTCGTTGTCTTGGCCTCAACTATTCAGCCCCAAAGAAGTGAGTGGTGGTGATGGTGATGCTCGTGAATCAGTCTCCAAACAGTACAGACCGACAGTCCCGACGCGAATGCGAACGCTGTCTGTGTCCGATTGGCCGGTGACATTCAGTTTTTGTTTTGTCCCACTCACCGTGGCCCAACACTGTGGCATCTCTCCCCTGATTTGTCAACCGAGTCGACGTGAATTAACCTTATGGGACACGGATGCCGGACCGGGCTATATTACTGTGAGCAGCCTGAGCAAAAATGTGCTTGAATTGTCCATGACAAATGCATTTCTACCCGGTCTATCATCGAAACTGAAACCTACGGAGCGCTCGTCACAAGTCGATGGTCTATCCCCGTGGAAAGCGCTTCTTGAAGCCAGTTCGGCTTATGCGTTAGAAATGAAAACGGCCATTCAAGATGCTTTAGGAACAGCTTCTATCAAATGATGTTTATAAATATATTTTGTCATTCTCAAAGAATCTCCTTTTATCGGCATTTTCGTGGTTTATTTGTTCGCTCGTTTTAAGCACAATACTTTTTCGGAGTATTTTTTTTTACAATGTATTCTCACCCAGTTCAGATCAGCATGCTTCGTTGACGGGAACCCATGTCGCGTATACTTAGTAGTCGTCTGCCACACCTCGCCCTTTATACAAGTACTGCTTCACTTTTTGGGGGGAAGTCAATTAGAGGACTACAGGTAATGTGAGTCGAGGCACGAAGAATTGCATCCACGGATAAGTGCGGGTCACCTGTCTTTCGGTCCGTGATCCGAAGACCTTGAAATTGTTTGGTTCGAGGCATTGAAGGACAAGACAGCAAACCACCGGCGGTGGTATACTTGTCACTTCTGATCTAGTGTGTGGTGACAACCTGGCCATTCACCTCCGCTTCTCCCAAAACAGGTTTACTCCGCATTCACTCCACGCATTCGTTCTCAATTTGTTTACATTGTGAGTTTGGCAGCGATTGGCGATACTGGTCAGGGATCATTCTCCCTGATCTCACTTTTGTTTGTGAATTTGACAGTTTGCCGAGGATAGGATTCCGTGCATGTAACGTGAATGAATGGTTGCCTCTTTCACGGTATTAGAGATTGCATACATGATTCACAGTGAAGCAGACTACGAACGTTTATGTCTTGTGTTATCTTGCATAAACCCACATTTTGTTCACAAAGGTCAAATCAGCACTAGCGTTTTGGATTGTGACGACCCGCCTCATGTTTTCTTTTTGAAGACAATGTCTCCACAGTATTCATACTGTCTTTTCGGTTTCATGCATTTTGTTCGCATGGGAAAGTCGCATACTTTCTTAGTATCAGAGCACAAAAATCCCTATCAACCGAAATCTCACAGTTCCACATTTCTCTCCCCACCCATCTCAATAGTCACGGGAGCCGCTATTTTGAAGCAATCACTAGCACACATGAAATGGCACCCACTCATGATTGACCACTAGTTCGATTTCCGCCGAAACAGTTCCTCCAGAGATATACTGACTTATATCTCTCACGCCTTGTGCTCTTCGACAAGCAGTTGCGATGGATTGCATTTGNAACCTTAGGTCGAACATGGTACAAGTGTTCGCTGGTGAAATAACCTGCTTCTGCAAATCCTTCGGAAACCACGTTGTGGAACCGCAGTTTCCTCAGCGACCGCTCCCTCACAATTCGGGGCTATTTTATGTATTACTTTGTCTTTCCTGGTCTTCCTCAATTTCCCCTTTGCTCCACATCACTACTCCTATTACTGATTAATGACCTCGTCCACCTCCAACTCTGTGCATGCTTTAACCGATAATGCCACCATTTATTGCTCTTTATCGATCTTCGAAAAAGCTCCTGCAATCTATCAAACACATCGACGAACACCGATTATGCCTGGGGTTCATACAACTGTGCCATTCAGTCTCTCCAAAATTGAAGTTCCTCCCTCACTTTTACATCCTGTGTTCCTAATATTCATTTTTATTGATATACATCTTGATCTCCATACGCAATGATCCGTACCCCGCTTGACCCAGAAAATTAGTCATACGAGGCATTTCTCACCGTGCCGGCTAAAATACGCCCTACTCTTGAATATTGCAGTCACGCTTGAGTTGAACCCTGGTCTACTTCCTACTGTCTCTTCCTGATCATGTTCAGCTCAGCAAATTATCCGTCACATCAGTCGTCCAATACTATAATTCTTCAAAACAACAGAGTGGCGAACAAGCTCGTTTTCAGAGATTCCTATTCATGCCAATGCATCTCAATATGTATCACTACTTGGGAAAATTAAAATAAAATCACAGATTACTAGAAACGATTTTATCGTGAGAGACCGGAAATCGGGTTCACCACGAGCATGTTTGTTTGCCAACTCATCCGATCATCGAGATTACTCGTAATACGGTGTGTCTTGGGTGGGCCAGGGAAACGCTTTAGCGCTTGCACAAAATTATTTTTGGGGTACAGATTGGGGTTATTCAGACGATTGTTCACTGCTGCTTCTGCTGTAGCCAGCAGCCGACAACTAACCTGCCTCGATAATCACCCACGCACTTTAAACAGGGGTCAGAAGGCCTCGGACACGTCCACATAGTGATTTGTTTCAACTAGGTGTGAAACTGCTCCACTGATGAGTGACTTAGTCGTTCCGATTTTCAGCCACGCTAGGTGGTGTTCACAATTGCCTGATTGCGCGGCCTGTGTACGTTGTTCCACAGGAGCAGGTAAATGAGTATACACAGAATGAGTCTGGAACTTTGTCCTTCAGTCGCAAACACACAATTGGCACGGATGTGAACAACACACGTAGCTTGGATGCATAGAAATTCTTATCGATTGCGTTGGATAATCTTTGTATGATCCCAGCTGATGTGTCCCTTTTGAACGGCAAATAGATGTACATGGCTTTTTTCTTAATCTCGGTGTTTTGTAAAGAGTTTCCGATGCACTGAATCATCTTGTTGACTAAACGCCACGGATACCCGTTACGTGCAAAGATGGATTTTATAGTACGAAGCTCTTCTAGCTTGTCCTCACTGCAGATCTATCTTGCCCTATCCACTAGGCAATGAATCAGGTTCCTTTCAATCATCAATGGCACAAAACTTCGGAAATCAATGTATTGGTCTTTCCAAGTTGCCTTTCTGTGCACCAAACCATTTGATCGACGGATGATGCAGATATCTGAAAACGGCAATTTGTTATTACATTCCATTTCTAAAGTAAATGTTATGTTGGGATGCGCACTGTTAAACCTCTTCAAATTCTCCGTTGTGCTCGATCTGGCATTGATCATATAATTCTATGCTGTCATTAGCCCACCGTTTGTTACATCACTCTATTTTCATCGTGACCTATATTCCCGGGAATTCGCATCTACGCTTCCAATTCTCGTCTGTTCATTCGTCCGGTTTGCAAACAAGCAGTATCCCATCTTCCATAAGTGATTATCTCCAACCAACATATGCACAGGTTTGATTTATCCTTTTTCGAGAACCGCTAAGCTACCCAAAGTCTACTCTGCCACTGCAGTTTCCTGAAAGTGAGTCACTTTTTGAAACGAAGAATAAAAAAACTGGTTTTGTTCCACTTCACTCAGCAGCATTCCCGGAAAGTGAGTCTTCACCATGTGTGACCTATTCCTCCTACTGTGGTGTGATGAGGTAAAAAAAGTACTGATCTGTTCCGCCAGAAACTCGTTCTTCACCTCGGTGCTCCCAACAGATCATCGTTTCGTAAGACCGCAATTGAAAGTACACTGTTTTGTAACGAAAAACTGGATCGTTTCGGAATCACAGCAATGAGATGTAAGATGGATTTCGGAGAATCGCGGATGTGAAATCGTTGCGATCAGCTTAGGTGTTCGCGATCAAAATGCCACGAGGTCTTTTGTATTCCACCCCAGTAGACGACAGACACCTGCTTTAACTCATTACTGTTCCTTTCCTCAGGCATTGTCTCTCCTGTATCGGTTTACCTCCACGTCATTTTGCTTTCCACACGAAGACGCAGCTGCATACAACGCATTGCAGTTTATCACGTTTGAGTAGACGCGAAACCGTGGCCTAACCGAATAAAAATATACGAATTCCTTGACCCTATGTAAAACAACAATTTACAATTTGTCTTGAATTTATGATTAAGTTTCACTGATTGCTCCTTGCTCAAAACGTGATTGCTATCTGTGGTGAAGTTTGTCTACGCACAAACTCCTAATCTGCATTCACATGCGAAGGGACGGCCTGCGAAGTTGCGTTCAACGGATGCGTGCGATGTCCTAATTTTTTTTATTACACACGTAAGTGGTGAACAGCAGACGGGGCGAACCTTATAACCACGAGGACCTGCTGTTCTGTGGTGGAAACCGGCGACCTAAGCCCCGAGACTTGAAGTGGCGAATCACATAAGGCCTCGGTAGGTTAGGCGTGGTATTGAACCGGACGACAGCAGAGCTGCCTACCATCAAAGTCGGGTGGCGGGGCTTGAACCTCAGACCATAGGGTCCAAAGCACTCCGATGCACCCAATATTAGTCCGATTATAAACAACTGACTTTTCGAGCTGTGTTAGCCATTAGATTCCGCCGAAGTAATGAGAAAATGTGAAGAAAAATATCGAAAACAAAGTAAAAGCAAAATTAATGATCACTTAATGGCCAGATATCTGGTGATTCGACTATGAGTAGTAAGAACATATTGGTCCAACAGGCTCGCATGCTCAATGGTATGTGACGTAGGAATTTGAGATTCGTATACAGTTCATTCTTCTTTCTTCGTTTTCTTTCATTGAGTATGTAATGAGGCGATCTTCAGGAAGGAGGAAGCGACTAATTCAAAGACTGCCAGGTAACACAGAATGGTGGTTGTCTAGCAGTCGTCATGGGATTTAAACACGTCCTCCAGGGTGATAATATGGTGACCTTGGCCACGATCGCCGACGTGAGCACCCTTTCGGCTCCCTGGGTCACTGTTTGATCCTATCGGCGTAGCCCGAGGAGTTCCACAAGGGTCCGCGCTTGGCCCTCAACTTTTTTCTAGTTTTCATTAACGGTCCACTCCGGACCTTCTAGGGCCACAAACGTTACGGTTTGCACACGATACAAAAATATTGAAGACAGTAACAAAATCTGAGAAGTCGCTAGCACTTCAGAGAACACTTAGTGCCCGGGGAATAAGTTACCTCAAACGGCATAAGGCTTCCGGCCCCGACGGGCTGTCCTCATCCGTTTTTAAGAATGGTGGCTCAGCCTTGGTTTCGGAGTTAACAAAACTCCTGAGCTCAGTGTGGGAGAGGAAAGAGGTTCCAACTGAATGGTGTGAATCGGTGATCCTACCGATTTACAAGAAAGGTCATAGATTTAATTCTTGAAACAGCCTTATCATCGTGCAAGGATAGCGGTTTCCATTTACTTCCGGGTGGCAGATTGTCTGATATAGAGTATGCAGACGACATT